CGAGTTATGGGGCCTGAAAGTTGTAATATCTAAAGAAATTTCTATTCTAACAGTATATCAGTAGTTTCAAAGTTTCTTCATTATGAGATATTAAAATGCAAATTCAAAATTTTCAAACAATTTCTCCAATCAATTTTCCCTTAATCGTTATTTACTCATAATTACAAGTTACTAACCTATCGGTTTTTTTTACAGGAAGAAGAGCCATATATTTTGGTCTACATTTTTATATAATATAATGTTAAAAAAGCTCAGAAATAATATGTCTATCAGGCGAAAACCTAGGGTCAAAACATTAAAGCAAAGTTTTTTCCAAACAAACACAAAATTTTCTAATCTTTATTTATTGTGTTCTAAAATAAGTAGGTATATGTGGCATGATAAAGTCAATACATCAATTTCATTTGCCATTTAAAATTTTCACAAATTGGAGGGTGACCAATCAGACAAATAACTGTAACAACATTGTAGAAAGGCAATAAAATCAAAATTTTTGATAAAGAATGTATTTTTCACATTCATAACTGTTCTCATATATGTATATACATACACACATATTTATTGTAACTAGATTTATCGTAAAGATGATACTTATATGAAAAATAGAAGCTTAGAATATGATGAATATGAAAAATTTCTGATGGAGGTGAAAGGCAGTGTGATGGTATAAAAAATATAAGTGCTAGATAAATGAATCGCAAAAAGTATGTTCTGTCAAAATTCTATATATATTTAGCTCTTATCCTGAGTATACCTTTCTCTCTCAATATTAATTAGGAAAAGAAGAATTACAAAGTTCTCTTTATTGCAAAAATTTATGTTAAAACAAATTAATTGCAACAAGTCCAAAAAAAATTAAAATAAATAAAATTGAATAAACTAATGAGTGCGTAATTACCAACAATACCAGTTAATTTTGATTTTTATGTATTCAAATCATTTCTGATTTTTTACTTTTGATAAACCCAAAGAAGTATTTATATATCTGTAAAATTATTTTTAAATACTAATTATTTAAGTACAAAATGAGCTGAAAGTATTCAAGCTCAAGGTAAGTATATAGAATAATAATTGATTAATTTCAAAAAATACACACAATATTGGTTTACATTAGTCAATTTAATAATAATTTATAAATAAATTAGAAATTATATTTAATTTCTATTAATTGGATAACTGTTGCAATTTTAATTAATCATATTGGATTTAGTTTGATAAAATATTGGAAAAAGTCCAAGATAAACAAAGTGAAGTTTCGTTTACATAAAACTTGAACTAAAATAATTAAAAGTAATTTTTCTTTTTCTAGATACATAAATATATTAATAAAAATAAATAAGTTATAATAGTTTATAAATATATGAACCTATGTATAAAATTACACAAACATACTTGCACGCCAGCATGTTATGAAGCTGATCAAATAAAAGAAATGTAAATAAAGTTTACTTTTTTTCTTGCTCACTATGGAAAAAGTTTTTTTAAATTTTTGCTACGTGATAAGAAAAATATTGGCAAATAACCAAGTTTATAACTCTTAAAATACAAAATTTGAAATTTAATTAGTTCCAACTTAAGTAGATATGTACATATATACATACATGTAAAAAGTAAAGGCCATTTAAGATGGTGTTGATAATTTAAAATAAAATTGTCGTAATTTGAATTTTCTATACTTATAAATTCAAAGAATTTTTTTTCTAGAAGTATGCAACAAGTAAGTATAAAATAGTGTAATGGTATCATCGGCAACTGCGTGTAGTTATAGAAATATAGCTTGAGATAATTTATTTTAAATTCAGTTTTTCAAAGGGTTTTAACGCGTTGTTCATTTGCGATTGTTGAAGCTTCACAGCAAATAATTCAGTTTTGCATGTTTTTACAAAATTTTGGGTATCAAATGGCATGAGCTGTTTTGATTTGAATGAATAAGGTTGGTTTATATTGTTTATTATAGTCTTTAACAACTCACTACTCATATACTTAGAACCACAATGTGATGGAATTAAAAAAAGTATTACTTAAGTAAAAATATTTTAATTTAAGTAAGTATGTTTAATTGCGGCAACTAAGAAGAAAGAAGTATTTATAATAACAATACCTAGATTAACAAAACTTTTACTTATGCCAAAATTAAAATTCAATTGTGATTTGATCGGATGAAATGAGTAAATAATTTACATGATCAAATAATTTAAAATCCGAATATCAAATTTGCCAACGTCAGCAATTACTCCATGCTCTTTTCTTTTAGAATTTTCTTTTAGAATTTATCATTAGTGTGCAATTTATTTAAAAACTTCTCGTACATATACGTAAAACTCTTGAACTCCAATTTTTAAACCATTATAATCACGAGTATGTCGATATGCACAAAATTTTACTTATACTTAAATTTTCCTTGTGTACGTAATTCTAAACCTTGTAAATATTTTACTAATGGAATATTATTTTTACTTATGAATTTTTTCTTCTTTTATTATTTTGTTTTTTTTTTCTTTATTTTTTATTACTTATTTTATTATTTGCAAAGACAACAGGACTAACAATAAAAATAAACAAAAATACTTGAGCTGACAGTTTTCTTTTTTGTTTCTTCTTTTTTTCATTTTTTCTTCATTTCATGTTAACCCTTTCTTTAATTTTATAAGACAACAAAATAAATGAAAAAAAGGATAATTAGGAAGAAAAAAAAGGATACCGACATTGACTCATTTTTTTCTATTTTCAGCATTTTTTTTTTGTTTTGCTGCCTTTCTTTAACGGTTATTGTGCTTTTCTTTGTTTTGCTCTTTTATTTTTTATTTTTGTAATTTTCTTGAATTCGATCAATTTAGAGGAAAATTTTTTGTGCTTTTTCTCTTTTTCTTTGTATTTTCTTTAGAAATTCTCTTTACAAATTAGAAATGAAAACCGCCTCCCTTGCCTGCTTTTAATTTACTAACTTGGTTCAATTAAAAATGAAGTGGAAAATTTGTTTTTTTTTTTTATTTTTTTTTTTTATTTTATTGTTATAATTATTATTTTTGCGTATTTTTTTTTTCGTATTCTGTTCTTTACTTTTGTTAATTTTTTTTTCTTTTGTAAGCAAAAAATTTTATTTTTCGAAGAAAATAAGGAATAGATATACTTTTTATATTAAATACTTTATACTTAATAATAAAAGTAAAAAAAAAACTAAGTCAATTTGACCAACTATCAGGATAATCATTTCTAGTTGGAATTCTCAAATCCATAAAGACACCGACTTATTTGAATTAGATAACTAATAAAAGCTTAAGTATTATGCACTCTTCAATTTACATAAATTAAAACACAGAAAAACATTCAAGAGTCGACTCTTTTGAGAGTCGTTTCCTATATGGTTACTACCACGTAAAATGCTCAAAATTGGATAAGATATGTTTTCAAACTACTATATTTTATTTACGAGTACTAGTCCTGCAGTTGCAAAGCCAAAACCTTTTCTATAAATTCGGATTGTAGTTTACGTACATAAAAAACGAAATTACGAATTTGTTATACTTACATTTTTTTTAATTTCTGCAATTTACATAACACACAAAATGCTAATGTACAATAAATCGGCAGTAAATATACTTATGTGTAAGGATAAAAATCATTTTTATGCCTTTTTCTCAGAAAATGGAAAATTGGAATACGAAAAAGCCAATGAAATATAGTGACATGAAAAATATTGAGAACGTCATGTACTTCAGTAATTTTTATTTTCTTATTTTTTCTTTCAAATGTTAAAATTAAAAATAATTAAATTGGGAAAATCTATAATTTCTTATACTTATACCTATTAAGAATAAAAAAGGAAATCTTTTAGAAGTTAATTAAAGTTGACCTAGTTGTAAAAATTTTATAACTAAAATTAGAATACAAAAAAAAAATAATTTTCATTTTACAAGTGTAAAGTAAATTGAAAACCTTTACCGACAACAAGAAAACAAATATTTTGAAGTCCAATAAAGTGCGTATTCAATGAAATTGGAAAATTTCTAAATACATTTCTTATATATATATAATAAGTAATATAAAGAAATATAAGCAAGTATTTTGAATTTTAATTATTTATTTTATTTTAAAAATAAGCAAACACTTTTTAAATTTAATTATTTACTTTTTATAAAATTCTCAGTACTTAGTAAGTACTGAAATAATAAATTATCTTGGGTTAGTGAATATATTAATTCTTTCGCAGTAAGTTATGGTTAAGTAATATGATTAAACTAAAATGAGAAAGATTTTTGAGAATAAATATAAGATTTGTTACAAAAAAATAAAATTTTTGTAAATATAAGATTTTGATACATAAGAATAAAGATAAACAGATCCTATACCCAACCCTTACATCCAATACCAGTGAAAGGTTATTTTAGAATTAAGTAACACTTATCAAATTTTGAATCGAATATAAGTATTTAAGTAGTACGAATACATTTTTCAATAGCATTGAGCATCATGTTATACTGCTAAGACGATACTGTGTTGGCTGCAAGGCAAAAACATTGAAATAATGCTGTGGCCCACAAACAGTCCACCTTTATCTCCAATGGAGACATTATATGGTATGATATGAAAATAAAACTTAATTCTAACGCAACTAAATCTTAAAGAAAACAATTACACAAAACCCAATGGTGGATCAATTGATTTGCTTCTATGGATTTCGCATATGAGAATTGGATGCCCTTCAATCCAATGAACAATCGTTTTTAAAATCCACAATCATTTGAACGTAACTCAAAATTGTTTCCAAATTTAAAACAAGCAGATAATATGTGTTTGATAGCTAATTGTAGGTACATATTTAAAATTAGATTTCGAATTTCTAATATTTATTTTAAAATAGAGAATAATTTTGTTCAAAAGAATTTGAACAAATTTTTATAGATATTGAAACGTATTTTATAAAAAAATTATAAATAAACTCAATATGTATAAATATATTAAGTAAAAAGTATAAGTACTAAATATAAAAAAACACAAACCTGTGGTAAATTAGCATTTATTTGCCTATGTAAACTATCACGTTCTTTTTCAGCTTCTTGTAATTTCATTTCAGATTCAGAGAGACGTTCTTGTGCCTCCCTTAAGCTATCCATTAATTTATCACGTTCATCTAACATTGAAACCATTAATTGCTCAAAATTAGCATCTTCACCACTAAATTGTGATGATCTCTGGGATATACTATCCTCAGATATTGTTGGCATTACATCGCACATCATGTTCCACATTTTTTCTTTTTTTTTATATACTTATTATAAATTTTTTTCTTTTCACAAATCTTATTAATTTTTTGTTATTGTTTTATTTATACTATTTAAAAAACAATTAATTTTAGTATAAATTTTACTTTTATTTTATTTGTATTTCTATATTCTTTAATTGTGTAAAATCATAATCACCAAAAAAAAATATAAAGAAAAAAATATATTTATTTCAATTATTTAATCAAAAATATTAATAATTAATTAAGAATACATATTTATATTTTGTTTATGTATACAAAATATAAATAAACAAAATTAAAATTAAGATAAAAACAATTAAAAATAATTAAAATATAAAATAAATATTTAAAAGGACACTAAAATTTGAAATTATAAATCAAATTTTAAAGTTATTTTTAATAATTGATAAGTATAAACACAACTTAAAAAATATAATTAATTAATAAACAAGAAACAATATTCAATTTAAAAGAAATTCACTTTCAACTTATTTCATTAAAATTTGTAAATTATTTTCTTTTTAATTTATAATTAAAAAACAATTTAATAAATATTTAATTTTTGCGTTGGGTGTTAACATACTTAATTTTTATATTTATTTTCGAGAAATCTATTTAATTTATTGTTGTTTTTCAATTTTAACTAAAAATTATAATTAACCATTTATTCATTTCATTATTAACTTATTCTTGTATTAAATATTAAGTAGGTATAATCATTGATTTTTTTTTTAAATGATTTCATTATTCATTTTTATATTTTAAATTTATATTATTTAATTAAACACATTATTTTTAATACTCTTATTTTAATTCAATGACAACAAATTATTGAACATGTAATTCAAAATAGATATTATATTACTCGTGTATATCAACTGATAACTATGTTATACTTATAAGTATACATATACATATATGCGTATATATATATATATATATATATATATATATATGAATTTATTAATATATATAATAAGTGTATATTATATGTTAATTTATGAACAACAATAATATTATGTACATATAAAATAAAAACATATAAGTAATAATAAAGAGAGGTATGGTTTTTAAGGTAATTAATGAATTAAGTATGTATAACATATAGTAATAATTAATATGCATATATGTATACGTAAATATATAATTACTATTATCAAATATTTAATATGGTTATATTAAAATAATATTTAAAATGAATTATACTTATTTACTTTTTATTTTAATTATTATTAATTTTAATATATTGGCTTTTTTTTATTAAATTATCATAACATTACGTATGTTAATTATAAGTTAAAATAATAATTAGTTATGTATAGCACCAAATATTTATGTACTTATATCTTTTTATCGGAATTATAAAATTATATAAATTTTTTAAGTTAGCTAAGTATAATATAAATAAATATATGGATGCCTATTTAGGCAGATATTATTATACACATATTTTCTATTACATAAGTAAGTAGGATTGCATTATAAATTATATAAATTAACATGTACCTATGTAATTAAAATAATTATTTAGAATGTATTTATTATTATTTTTTTGTTAAGAATCTTAAATTAATTTATATTTTGTTAATTAGTTATCTTTTAATTACTTTAAATTTTTATTTATTCTTTTTTTTCGTAATTTCATTGAATAATTATTTCGTTTGTTGATAATTTAGGTAAAATATTTTTTGTGTTAATTTATTTAAACTGTTTTATACATACATAAATTTGTATTACACATGAAATATAATATATTACACTTATATGTATTTTATATATACATACATATATACCTTTTACTTACATATGTATTAATCGGTTAATATTATAATTTTATAATAATTAATAAATGTTTGGTTTTTCACTCCTTCGTAATTATCATTAAATATACCTTAACAATTTGGCAATATTTAAAAATAAGAACAATTATAATACTTTTATTTTGTTAAATTTCTTTTGATACCCAAAAATATTTTTGTAATAATAAGTATTATTAATAAAAAATATATAAGAAAATTTTTGTTTTCACAAATTTAAAACAAAAAATCAAAATATTTTTTTTTTCTTCAAACTTTAATGACATTTACACTTGATTTGAATTTAATTTGAAATTTTATTTAAATATATTTTTTATTATTATTGTTAATCTATTATTATTTATTTTGTTAAATTTATTATTATTTTTTTTTTCTTTTTCTCTGTTATCAAAATAATAATTATTATTTATAATGGGAATATAAAAATTCCTTTTTACGCACACTCATACATAGTAATATTTTCTTTGTATTAAATATATATATGATTATATGCATATGCATATACTGCTCGCATGTACATAATATTTTTATATTAAAATTTAATATGTATGAACAATAATTCTATGGAATATTTAAAATATATGTAATACATATAGTTATAATATAAATAATCTAGACCACGTATGGTTCATAAGTACATAATATATATAATTTTATTTATATATAAATATACCTATATACTCATGTATATTATCCTGTTATATCGTAGTTTCTTATGCATATTTGGTTATATATTGTGATGTATGTATGTATATAGATAATATCCACAGAAAATACTTATTACAAATTATGTATGTAAGCACATACATATAGTTGAGTAGTTATGTATTCAATGAAAAGATTTTTTTTCTGAAAACACCCCACGATAGTATGTAGGTAGGTACCTACTATTAAACATAAAAAAATAAATGAATAATATAAAAAAAAATAAAACACCAAAGCAAAAAAAAAAAAAAAGAAATTTTTACAAATATTTTTTTTTCCTTTTTTATTGTTATTAAAGGAGTTTTTTTTTTTTTAATTTTAATATTACAATTCACATTATTGATTTTGGCTACTTTTTTTTTCTTTTAATTTGAATATTTTTTAAAAAAAAATTTTCTTTTAAATTGAAAAAATTTCAAAAATTCCAAACATTTTATTTCAAAATTTTTTTTATTAGTAAATTGATTTTCATTTAAAAAAAAAAAAAATCTTTTCAAATAGCACACACCATAGTCTCACTTGAATAGGTACATATAGGCATTTATGTATATAATATTATGTAGGTTGACATATACGTACATATATATGATGGTAATTTAAATATATGTATATAAGTTCATGTAGGTAGGTAGATTGGTGTACTTTTCCAACTTAAAATGTTGATTTTAGAAATCTTATTTGATTTTTTTCCTTTACAAATTTTAATTTGAAAATTTTCTATATCTTATATTTTTTCTTCAAAAGGGGGGTGATTATTTAGAATTAAAATTAAAAGATGAATTTAGTAGTAATTAGAAAACATGAAAAATTCTGAGTTTTTTTTTTTGCCTGTGGTTGCAAAGTTTGCCTTATTTGACAGGGTGGTTTCAATTTACAATCAAAAGACGGCCGTATATATGGTTGCGTTTATAAAATTATACATTTTTACAAATTTATTATTTGATATTTAAAAAACACACACAACCACGAAAAATATTCATTTTCATTTTTTGATTACAAGAATTTTTTGTTACTTTTGTTGTTTTTTTTTCTTATTTTTATCAGTTTTTTTTTCTTATTTGTGAGTTCTTTGAAATCTTATTAGATTTTATGTGTCATTTATAATTAATGTGTACTTATAAAATATTCAATATGAATTTTTTTTTTTGCATAATTTCTTTTTCATTTTGTTTTTTTTTTTTTTTTTTTATTTTGTAACTCTAATAAACACCCCCGTTTAAACACTCAAAAAAAAAGATTTTATCTTTCTGTTCGTTTTTTTATTTTTTGAACTTTTTATAACAAGAAAAAAAATTAATTTTTCTATTGTATTTTTTTGTTTTTTTTTTTTGAGTTGAATTAAAATCAATTTAGCCGCCCCGTCTCGTGTTCTGCATGAATTTCTTGCTTTTTTTTTATAAAAAAAGATTTTTAGACTTTTTTTTTGCCTTCTACACTTTTTTCTATCTTTTTTTTTTTTTTTGATTTTAATACCGATAATTTTATAAATTTTTAATAGATTTTAAGTGAATATTGTAGAAATTTTATTAAAGAAATTTTTATTTTCAAGTTTTATATATTTTTAATATTATTAAATACATTTTTATAAATGAAAAATTATAATTAAATAAAAAAATTTTCTTGCTACGAAAAAGAAAACGTCAAATTGTTGCAAGCGCGGAGATTTGCTTGAAGTTAGAAATGTTTTTTTTTTCATGATTTTTCTTTTTAATTTTGTTTTTCTTTTGCTTCTTTTGGAGACTTTTTGATAAAAACAAAAAAAAAAATATAGAAAAATCCAATACGAGTATATTTTGTTGTAATAAACTTATTTAAAAATGAAATATGGCTGCCAAAAAAACAAAATTGACAATCGGTATTGTCAGTTTTGATAGACAGTGTGGTAGCGTTTTTTTAAATTGGGTTTAGAAATTGGGGTGAAAAAGTTTGAATCGGTTTCCTCCAAAGTATTCAAACTTTTGAAACTTATGGTTCAACTGGTTAGTCAAGCAAATTAGTGTATTATTATTAATGGTCGTTTATATTTTTGAAATTTAGCCTATTATTATGGCAGTCCATTTCTTAAAATGCCTTTGAAAGAAAAACCTTTTTAAATTTTTAATAAAATTGATACGTTTTTGCTTGTTCTTTTTTTTTCGAATATTACTTTGTGTAAATGGCTGATCGTGTCCGGTACAAACTAAAACTATTTTAGTTAAAATGAATTTGTATTCGACATTAGCTGACAAGCTAAAACTAAAAGGTGTTCTTTAAATTTTTCAGCCCGCGCATATGTAGTCAATTTTCAACTTAAGCTAATATCGGATCGACTTGACTTGAAAATATTAAGTCAAGTAAGTTTAATATGAGCTCGAAATTGGGTGAAGTCGGCTTCAAGCTGTAATTAAGTGTAAACGCTAATTTTTAATAATTGAAAATTGAAATAACACAAAAAATTACTTATTTTTTTAATTCATCGAAAAAATCCTAAATTTGTTTTGACGGGAGAGGATTGTAGAAATCAAAAAGTTGAATTTGTGCTGTTATTCAATTTCGCATTTTAGCATTTTCATATGTTTATTTTGTGTTTGTATTTCAAGCAAAGTAAGCAGTTTAACGTTCTAGAGTCGTAAGTCCTGATTTCGAAAAAATTTTAATGATTATAAAAGTTTAAAGAATAACTGACTGCCCTTTTATTAAAAAGTAAGTCAATGATATGAAAGAGAATATGAATTACAAAATACCAAAAATTTTTAGTCTTCAAAATTACAAGTTAACGTTTCGTTTGTTTAAATAAAACAACTGCACCCAAAAATTAATTTACATAAAAGTAGGCAATTTATATAATTTGAATACTCGTATTATATAATCATAGAAGAAATCCCAATTCTGACACAAATATTTTCTAACTTTAATTACTTCCTACTTCCTTTTCGTGGTAATCAAAATATCTCAATAAGCATGTATGCGCTATTATGTATAAAAGGTTTTCTTTAAAACTCAAAATACTTGAAGTCAGCTATGCATGTTGTAAAAAGAGTCAAAAACATTCAAATATAATAAATATTATTGTAATATTTTTGTACTATTATGTAAAAATTTGTAATTGTAAATATTTTTTAATAAAATGAAGACGGTAACAGTGAACACACTGCACACCTCAGTTTCAAGTCATATTCGTGAATAGCGCAGATCTTCATATTTTGCGGCTGACAGTTTTCAAGTTGTTTGCTTGTTTTGCAATTTGGTTTTAGTTGTATTGAAGAAAATATTTAAAGCGCGTTTCAGAAAACAACAAAATTTAAAGTTTTGAAAAAGAAAATTTAACAACATAATATAAATTAACAATTAAATAAAATGAATTCTTGTACTGACACGTTTTTTTTAAATTCTACAAAAATGTTTGAAGAAATTCGTAATAACTTGCCAAAAAATAAAAGCAAGACGCAAAATTTAATAGAATCACTAGACGATATCTTGTTGGCATGGAATTCAAATGATTGTACTGTATTAGCTTTGAATTGGAGAGCTATGAAATTAAGGGGGTGTGATGTTGTTAAACATCAAAAATTAATTCCATCAGTCCCACAAAATTTTGAAGTAGAAAAAATTATAAGTTCACCGGAAGGCTCAATGATTTGTTTAGCTGGCAGTCGGGGTTTATGTGTTATGGAATTACCAAAACGTTGGGGAGCTTATGGACAATTTTTAAATGGGAAAGAAATTATTACATGTAAATCGTACAATTTAGATGAACAGTTTTTCCTTAACAATAACCACATTGAATTGTATCAAGTCAAATGGCATCCGGGTTCTCCAACAGATTCGCATTTGTTAGTTTTGTTATCCGATAATACAATAAGAGTTTATAATGAAACAGTATTGCGTCATGTTTGGAGAATTGGACCAGTTCCCAATGCATGTGTGCAATCTGAAGATGGAAGCGAGGTACAAAATAAAAGTGTAAAAGATAGTTTCCCAACACTACTTGATATGGGAGAAACGGCAGTTGATTTTGATATTGCACCCCCGAGAGTTGTTTGTGAAATAAATATTGAAGAAACTAAAGAAAACGTAAACTTAACAAATAAAAGTTTAGCAAGTACTTTAAAAAGTCCATTGAACGAATCAATTAATAAAAGTTTAAATAGCTCTTCGCTGAATGCAAGTAATAAATTAGAGAAGGTCGAATGGCCTATTGTAATTTTACGAGGAAATGGAAACGTTTATGTCCTCAGTGTTGGGATTGAAAGTGGGAAGTATGTTGTAGAAAATAAATCGCATTCACTAAACAGGTTGGCACATATTTAAAACGCTTGTTTTATTTTTTAGACCAAAACTCCAGGGACCATTAACATTTTTACCTCAATGTGGTGACAATTACGGAACTGAATCTTGTTCTTTGATAGTAATACCATCTCTGCCACCAACTCTAGTAATAGCTGAGTCGAATGGGAAACTCCATCATGCCTTAATGATAGAAAACGAATCTTTAGAAGAAGTAAAAATTTTAATAATAGATTTTTTCTTTTTTCATTATTTTCATTTTTTTTTTTGTAGTCATTTAGTGAGATAGATTCTAGTCTTTACATACATCCATCTGAATGGACAATCAACGTACTTGAAACGGTTACTCTAGAATTAGGATTGAAAGAAGAAGATCAAGAGCAGAAAAATTTATATCCAATTCATTTAAAGCGTGACACAATCAATGAATTACGTTACTTTGCATACCATAATACAGGATTACATGCTGTAATTTTAAATTTCATTCGAGAGCTAGAGCGGTTTGTTGAAGCAGAAGGTGTGTCAAATGATATAAGTTTAAATATTCCATCAAGTGCTGAATATATTGTTTGCACTAAAGTAAAGGAAGATGATCATACAATAAATGCTGTGTTAGGATGCACTTTATTTCATATGCCATCTGGGATTGTTCTTTTACTTGGTAGTGGTGAAGTAATAAGTTTGAATGTAATAATTGATCCTAGCGTACTTATCGATTCAATGAGACAACTTACAATATCCCCCAGTAAAAGTGATATTAATAGTACTTTGTCAAATGCAAATTCTCCTATACAAAAGATAATGAAAGAATCATTCGTGCTTCATATTTCAAATATATTAAAGAGAACAGTATCGCAACCAATTTTATCGTTGGACAAAAATGCTGATCTTTCTCCAGAAGAAATGTATAAAATTTTATCGCAATCGATAACAACTCTTAAAGATCAATATTTTAAAAAGCATGAAAAGGTCCGAACAGAAATTTTACGTCGTGTTAAAATTTTAAAGCTTTTGAAAGAACAACAACAGAAAGAAGTTGAAAATTTAGAAAATGAAAATAAAATAATACAAAACGAATCAAAACGATTAGCAGAAAAGTATGAGAAAATCTATGAAAAGCAGCAGGAACTTTCAAATCGTTGTCAGGATTTGATAAGGCAAGCGAATGTTAAAATTCCAAATAATAATATATCTGATGCTGAATTTAAAGAAAATGTTCAAAAAATTGATACAACAACAAAGAATTTAGCTAATGCTTTACACCAGATTAAAACAGATATTAAAAAACAACAATATCATATTACCAAATATTCACAGGAGACTGAAAAAAAGAAAATCGTCTTACCAGCTAAACAAGAAAAATTAATAAGGGAAATTTTGTCTGAAATTACGACTGAAATCGATACACAAATCAAAGACATAAAACGAATTAACAATGCAATAAATTTATAAGTGTTTTTTTTTTCTTTTTGTACTATTTGAAAATTCATTTTTATTTGTTTAAAGATGTTTGTGAACAATTCTGAAACTAACAGCATACAAAATAATTGAAAATAATTACAAGAAAAAATAAATTCAATAAAAGAAACTCAATTCAACATGATTATCTCATTAAAGGTAGTTTAAATATTTTTTGTAAATGTGGAACTAAAGCATTTATATTTCAACATAAAGTATTACTTGAATCTACAAATCAGAGAATATCCAAAATTCTGGATCCCACCAGTTAATTGTACGATAATCTAAAATTTTTTCATAATATGATCGTGCAACAGGTGTCTTTTTATAATCAACAAAACACATTTCTAAACCTGTATGCCTTAAGTCTTTTGATAAGGGTTGCCTTATCATTCCTAATGTTATTTTACTTTCACCTCCCTCTATACGTATTTCTGGAAATGGGATAAAACGATCTGATGTGATAATAAGTAAATGTTGACCCTCGTAGCGATTTTCAAAAATATTATTATGTTCCGCTAAAAAGTTTTCTAATCGATCTAAAACATCGTTATCATCATCATCACCATCATCATCTGAGCTGTAATTTTTTAGTAATATGGGTTTTCGTACATTTATTCGATTAGAAAATCTATAGCAAAACATCCATGTACCTTCTTTAACGGTACGATACCACATTTCAATACACTGCAATTTTTCTAATCGATTTAAATTATAACGATCTGGTTTTGATAACCGTAAACTAAATGTTGGACATGTGTAAAATAATGAACATATTACTCTGGCTCTTAAGCCACCAACGCGATCCATTCGGTCTGGCTTTAAACGTTCCGGCAAAACAATTCGGGAATTGTAATATCTTTTATACAAATTTGACCAATATCTTGCCGAACAGACAACAGCCTCAGTTTTTTTACATATCAAAGCAAAACGGCCTGTGTCTTCTGGTTTAATATGTTCTGATATCAAAAACCATATATCTATATGATAATCATTGTAAATATGGTTTGAATCCATCATTTCTTTATTTTTACGTTTTCTTTTTATGCCACACTTTTTGCGTTCTACATCATCATCGTCATCATCATTTATATCCATAGATAAAATGTCTTGAATTAAAATTGTTGTAACTTGTTGAGATTTATTTAAAACTTTTTTTGTTCGACCACCTTGTGTCGCCTTGTCTGCAAAATCTTTTATAGTTACCTCTGAAAAAAATACTTTGAAATTAAAAATTATTTATTTTTAAAAAAATTTTTCAAATTACCTCCTTCAGGAACAATCTTATGACGATGATGGCAACCTTTCTTGGGCATTGCAATTTTAAATAGAAAAAATAAGGCAGCATAACTTAACAAAATGTTCCTTTTGTATTATATTTGGATATAGAGAAACTTATAAAATTTAAAGCGATTACATCCCTTATCAATTAACGAGAAAATTTTACCCACAATAATAATGGGGTTGTAATTTGTGAAAAAAATATTCTACAAAATACAAAAGGAAATAAATGATGAAAAACGCAAGCAAAAATCTAAAAACATCTGTTTTTAATCAAAATATGACGTTTCATATGATGAAATATAAGAACGCTCCTTAAATTCTACGTTTGGTTCATATCCAAGATGTTCTTGTTTTTAGGAAATTTTTTTTAGTACTACTGTGTTATTAGTACACTGCATATATTTGTTAATTATTTTTGACAACAGATGGTGTTGCAAAGATAGCTAATTTAATTTAAATAAGACATTTTATAATAACAAAAGTGGAAATCGGTCAAACGGTTGATACTGCCGTGCCATTTTTAAAACAAACGATTAAAAGCCCAAAATTTAGAAAAAAAGTGTTAAAAAAATGAGCTTAAAAAAGGAATCAAAAAATTATATCTTAATTGATTAATGTCCAATTAAATAAGCATTTCTGTAATTGCAATTAGGTAACCATTTCTCAGGAATTTGTTGATAAAATTTTATTTTACTCGCTATTGTAGAAAATTGTTAAAGAAACCTACATGCATTGTAAAGTTTAATTTAAAAATTTCTTATTTCGAATTTGTCCTCTTTAATTTATAACATCAGAAGCTGGGTTGAATTGAAATGCAGAAGATACTTCACACATGTACGTATATATATACATTTATGTACTTATTTATATATTTTATGTATTATATAAAATATACATATGTATATAAGTATGTAAGTATTTATGAGTGCATGTAAATAGAGTACGACTGAATACTTCTTATGATCCACAATAATTCAATAAATTTTCTTATCAGAACATTCCATATGGTGCCCCAATTTATACATACTTTTGAACGTACATATGTATATACAATAATCAATTTTTTTCTAGTTCACCGGCTTCTCGCAAAATTATGGGTATACAATATATTATTATATATGTATATGCATATGTATATCTATAAGATACATAGAATATCTAAAAGCCATTATTCTTTTAGTAAACATTTTCATAAGAGAATTATAGACTACGTCGACTTACATACGTATTTAACGTATAATTTGAAGAACATTGAATAATAATAGAATATTTTTTCATTCTTAGTTTTGATTTTGAAAAAGTTTGAGTTGAATATTTTCTGAGTATGGAAGAACTTCTAAATAAATTAGTTGATGCCTTACATGGCCACAAAAAAGAAGATTTAAAAGCAGTTTTATTGAAATTATTCCAATCAGTAACAATAACTGCAACACACAAGCAAAAGAAAAATTATACAAAATTAGTAATTGCAACAATATGTGCAATAATTGGTGTAATTTGGTACATTTTACCTTACTGCAATCACGAAAATGTAAGTTTACCTAAGTATATGATGCCTTTTCTATTTTAGAAATACATAAGTTCATATGTACCTAAATGTTTTTTTCATTTACTCTTCAGTGCTTTTTAGAGATGCCATCTGATTTAAATAAAATATTTCGACCACCAGAAAATTGTAATTTTTGCCGTAATGTTAAGAATATTGAAAGGATTTCTGGAATATCACCTGAAGAATTTGAAGAAAAGTTTGCTTACACAGCTCGGCCCGTAATAATTACAGATGCCACCAGAAATTGGACTGCATTAGATGTAATTTTTTTCTTTTAATTTTAAAATTTACTTTTAAAGTCAATCGGTTTTAGGTATTTCATTTTTATTATTTTAAAGAAGTATATACGAATGCGTTCCGGAAACAAAAGAAAATTAATTGCCAATTTTTCCCATATAAAACTGAATTTCGTAGTTTGATTGAAGCTTTAAATATGCCACATAACAGAATAAATTTTGAACCCGGCACAAAACCATGGTATTTTGGATGGAGTAATTGTAATTCGGAAGTGTCTGAAATTTTAAGGCAACATTATGATAGACCATATTTCTTACCTAAATTATCAGAAAATGCTGTCACAGATTGGATTTTCATGGGCGGATCAGGTTTTGGTGCTCATATGCATGTAAGATCATTTATAATTTAGTTATAAATTAAAAATGCTTCCAAATGAATAGTGTAACGTGTTAAGGAATTTTGTTTTCAAAGGTTGATAATGTTAGATTACCGTCTTGGCAAGCCCAATTAAAAGGCTCTAAGGAATGGGTTTTAGCTCCTCCACCTGAATGTTATTTTGAATGCACCAGTTTTAGTACTGTTGTAAAAACTGGAGAAATAAGTATTTTGAATTATTTTGATTGTTAAGGCAGACATTAATCTTTTATTGTTATTTTTAGTAGTTCTAGATACAAATAAATGGTTCCATATGACAAATGTGCAACCAGGAGGTTTAAGCATTACAATTGGAGCTGAGTATGATTAGATTTTGTGATGAACTATTTGTATAAGTAAATACAAGCGTATAACTAACTACCAGTTTCAAGTAGTAGTGAAGTAAGTAAAAGTTAAGATGAGGCTTTTTTAAATAAATATTATATTAGCAAGTTATAAATGTCGTATTCGGTGTATCACAATTTGAAAATAAAACAATTTATGTGAATAGAATATTTTTTAAAATATTTTTTCGAATTAATAACATTACGAATCTTTACGACTTGTATTATCAACTAGTATTTTAGGATTTGCCACTCTAAATACATTTGGAACCATCGCTGTTAATGTATTAAATAATTCCTCTGATATATCAAACGGCAAAAGAAATTGCAAAGTACTCAATTCAGCACCACCCCATGTTGATGATTCAATCATAAAACCCTTAACACATTTAAATATCAATTCGGCTCTTCGAACACACCATTGAACTGTCATGTCCTCGGACATTTCATGTCTTAAAAGTGCTGGTATTGTTAAAGTTACAATATCATGTCTACTTGCTACTTTCATGATATTTCGTAAGCCTAAAATAACTGGATGACGCGAGTTAATTTCGGAAGCATGGGGTTCGTCTGATATTAAATGAAATATAACATGTGATTGAGACAAATTCGAATGTTTCGTAATAAAAAAGTCACCAGTTTTTAATCGTGGTGTTACTTTTATGGGACTCCCATTTGAGTTTTGTTTCTGTTCACACACACCATTCACATCTGACATTATTTTATCTAATTGTTCATCGATCTGATCAAAATGGAATTCTGTTGACATGTTTGCATTTTTTATAATTTGATTATTTGCTCGAATTTGTCCAGATGGTGTTAAAACGACAACACCGCATAAGGAACTTGAATATAAACCAAGTGCCATATTTAATCCATTTAAACTTTCATCAGCATGCAGTGGACTACATAAATCATAAATATTAGCACCTAATATTCGAATGTTGTGCATATGTTTTAATTGAGATCCTAAGTGAATGGTGAAACTTTCTTCCATTGATGGTGCTTGTGAGATGAATGTTGAAGAACGGCTTCCCACTGGTGTCGTTACTGGTGAAGAAGTTTCAAATAATTTTCCAACTTGACCTGTTACCCATTCCCGATATTCATTTTTCTGATGGCCCCGTTTTGCTTCCAATTCTGATTCCCATTTTTTTCTCACATAATTTTGTGTTGAATAATGCCTAGCTAGTAAGTTATTAATATCTTCCGAGGTTTTTGAAACATCTAAAAAATAAGTATTAAAATCATATTATTGTATAATTAATTATCACCATTCACCAAGTTGATCTATGTATTCTTTCATTTCATCTTGTTGTTGAGCGTTTAAATTTTCAATTTCTGTTTCCATTCGTTTTGTCATCTCAGCTATCACACGTGCATATGCTTTTTCTTTTTCAAGTATATCTGGTAAACACGATGACGAATGGACCAATCGATGAAACGATTGCGCAAATATTTCATCATCAGTTGGTCCAATTCGATCTGCATATTCTAAAACTTCCTCTTTATATAGTTTCTCCAAATTTCGCACGATCTCTTCAGTGTCAATTTCTCCATTTTTGAATTTTTCTATTAAATAATCATCCTGATCATCATAAAATTTCTGGTTTTCTTCACGTACAAACAAAGTTAATTTTTCTTTTAATTCTTTATTAAAATCCATAAACAAAAGTACTTCATCAGATTTAATTATCTTGTTTACCAATTCATCAACTTGGTTTAAAGGGAAAGGAATGATAATATTTTCTTTAATAGTTTCTGGGGTTCCTAGATTATCAAAGTCATAGATAAATTCAACAACTCTTTGATCTTCCATTTTTTTAGCTATGTATCAGAAAAATAGGCGTTTCGCAAATTATATTTTTCAAAAAAAAAAAATCCGATAACAATAGTATAAGCACAAAATCAAAACAAATTTTAACTAAAAAATTTAATTAAAAATATGTCATAAATGACAATTAATGCTACCGACTAATAAATGAAACTTTTGTAAATTGCTAATAGATGGATTATCAAAATGATAAACAGGGTTGATCTTTAATTTTGTCAAGTATATGAAATAAAGTACGTTTTTTTGTGTACGAAAGTTATAAAAAATTTTCATAAGAGATTGTAGTAATTTTTGTAATGTGTTCATATGGAACTTGTAAAAATTCACTTTTTTGTTTATAAAAAGTTTATAAGTTTTTGACAGAATTTGATTCTAATGCAATTTTTTCATAGTATAGTACTGAGTACTGTGTCTTTAGTACTTTTTCGATATAAAATACTTCCCTTACATTTGTCTTTTAGTACCTTATTAATTCCTTTTATAAGGAAGGAGAATAACATAAGAATTCAATAATGTTAAAATCAATTCAAAATTTAAGTGTTTCTTTAATAAAATCCAACCAAAAGATCAATTCAATCCGATTGTATGCTTCTATAGCTGATTCTTTTAAAAAACATCAAGTAGTCCCGGATGTAATTTCCAATCCTCCACAAGGTAATTGTATTACATACTACATACGTACATACATATATATTCAAAATACAAATTTGAGTATTTTACTAATATTTGAAAATTTCAATAATATTTCCAAATAGTAAAAGCAAATATTGATTACGGAAAAGGAGTAATTGTAAACGAAGGAAATGAATTAACTCCGACACAAGTTAAAGATCCACCAAAAGTTTTATGGCCTACTGAAGCCGGCAAACTTTATACTTTATGTATGACAGATCCAGGTAGGTAAAATAGATACAATGTTCATATCTTTTTGTTTTCTTTTTGTAAAATTTTTGTTATTTTTAGACGCACCAAGTCGTGAAGAACCAACTTATCGCGAATGGCATCATTGGCTTGTTGTTAATATACCCGGAAATGAAGTGTCTAAGGGAAAAGTGTTATCAGATTATATTGGATCTGGACCACCAGAAGGTACTGGACTACATCGCTATATTTTTTTGATATATAAACAAGAAAAAAAGTTAAATTGTGATGAAAAGTGTCTTCCAAATAATAGTGCTGAAGGACGTGAAAATTTTTCGATTGAAAAATTTGCCAAAAAATATAATCTTGGTAAACCAATCGCTGGTAATTTTTATCAAGCTCAATTTGATGACTATGTGCCACTACTTTATAAAAAACTAGGATTTTAAAATTATATTATTTTATCACATATGTATGTATATTCTGTATAATTAATAAATGATTTTCATTTTATAGAAGCATTATGTACCAATATTAAAACACAGACATGCAATGAAATTCCAAGTTGATTCTAAACGTAAAAAAGATTTATGTGTTTTATTATCAACATTTAATATCAAATCAATGCAAGGCAAATATAGGGATAAGTATATATATATATATATATATATATATATATACATTATACAATTCCATTAAAAACAAGTTACAAAAGCTCCACCTAGTATGATAGAAAAATTTTTGAGTTTTTGACAGTGATACATGTAGATACGGCATACAACTAGCTTAATACATTAATTAAGTAGACATCTACATAAACATAGTATGTATGTATATCTTAAATACATCTTTTAGGAATATTATGTTTATAATTAAAATGCAAAATATTTTATGTGAATTTCGTATGATAAAAAAATTGTTAATTTGGGATTTGTTAATTAATCAAGTATCGGCACAACCAGAATCTCCACCGCCACCTGAATCGCAACCTGTATCCCCACCGCCACCTGAATCTCCGCCACAACCTGAGTCTCCACCCCCACCTGAGTCTCCGCCCCCACCTGAGTCACAACCCGTGTCTCCACCGCCCCCTGTATTATCATTATCGTAACTGCCGTAACCACAGTTATCATATTTTTCGTTTTCAACAATTGCATCATCATGATTTCTATCGGTCGATGTATGTCCATCTTCATCAGTTATATGTACACCAATTGGTGAACTATTGGTACTTCTTATATACCAATCATTATCATTATGTGTAGAATAGTTATTCCTATTTCTATAAGTAGACGAGCTTCTTATGGGAAAACAACAACATATATCATCATCATTTGATTGTTTTCTTTTTACATTTCGTACTATCCTTCTGTAATTGGTGTTTGGCCGATTAATATTATATTCCGGTATTTTATGAATTTCAATTTTGTGTTTTTTTAATTCACCAAAATTTTCGAAACTATTGAAACAAATATTACATTCAAATTCTTCCATTTTATCAATATTCAAATAAAATTAATACAAATTAAAATAAAATTGTACAAATATTTTTTATGTGCGGAAATGTAGATTTAAAAAAAAAAATAAAAGCAATCTTCTAAACTGATTCGAGTGGATCTTAAAGTAATACTGAAAGCTTTTTCAATTTTTTTTATTTTTAAATGGAATTTCAAAAAATTGTGAATAAGTTTTTTTTTCTTGATTTTTTATTATGATCGAAAGTTTCTTAAACTTGAAAGAAATGGAAAGAACTGTAGGACCAATAAGCATAAAATAGATGCATAAAAATAAGAAAAACAAAATTTATCTATATGAAATGACGTTATGCTTATGAATAACTATACCTTTGCGTCTGTGTGAGTATTATATATACATATGTATGTATGTATTAGCTTCTAAATATTATAGAAATTAAACTTTATTCATTCAAGTTAATGTTGAGAGCTTTAAACCATTTACACATTTAAACAAAATTGAAATATATATGTACATATACATCATATTATATAAAATATAAATTACAATTATTAATATAATTAATAAATTACATTATTTATAAAATATACTATACAATAAATTAATACTATACAATAAAATATACTATACAATAATTTCATTAACAATTTAGCCATGTACTTTGTGTTTTAATAATTTAAGTGTTTAATTTATTTGATTTTAGCTCCGTCGGATGTGTAATTTTTTTTTTATTCATCTCAAAACAGTTGAGAATTTGAACATATTTAAATTTCCCAAGTAGTTTCATAGCATGTGAACTTGAAGTCGGTGTTCTCTTGTGATAATAGTATTCAAGATAGCATTTATTATTAGAGTAAATAATTCCTTAGAGCGATCGAAATGGAATTTTAAGGATTAAATTTCATAAAATGTTTTAAAGTCTGTATTTTATAAATCGATTTAAAGTAAAATTTATTTCTGAAAATTGGTAAAACTCTCGTGTAAAATGTATTATTTTATTATACATATTTAGATAAATTTGTGTAGAAATAATTTTTTTAAAAAAATGCACTTTTTTTCAAATCTATTCGAGTACCTAAATTTACTGCTTATAATCCAGTATTGCCAAAAACCATTTTTTAATTATTTTTATATTGGAAATAATTATAATATTACATATATATGTATATTAATAATATATCAATAATTTACATACATACGTATGTACGTCGTAAACTGAATTATCGAGCAACTTAAATCTTACAACACAAATAACCAAAACTTTTATGTTTTTAAGTATTTAGTGCAAAATTAAATATAAAAACATTATGTTTGTAAGTAGTAACATATTCCAAGTATTACGATAAAAGACAATCGTTCAAAAGTTAAAAAATAATGTAAGAATAGAATCTGTGGCAAATTACTCATCCTTATAATTTTACAAAACTAAAGTGGCAAAACTTTTACCGTAAGTGTACACAAATAAAATAAAAATTCTATCTTAAATTCATTTTTATATGTGGCTGTGTTGTTATTTTTTTTTTATTACTCATGTCGTCATCTTATGGAATTCCAAAAAATTATTTACGTAGATACATAGTTTCTCTAAATAAAAATGTGAGGTTTTTTTATAATGCGTGTGCTAATTTTAAACTCTTGTAAATAAAGTTACATATGGTAGCAAAGTTTATTTATTGTTATTGAAAAAGCTTTCGGTTTCATTTGAATGATACAAAAAAAAAGTTAAAAAAGAAAAGAAATACCAATTGAAAAAATTGTTTATAAAAACAAAGCTATTTTTAAAATTTAAAAAAAAATTTAAAAAAAAAGTGCTAACTAGTTTTACTCTGCCCGTCCATCAGTTCGTAGACATACACCCTTGAAGATATTTTATAGAAGCATGCAGAAGATAGAAAGCTGAACTTTCAGACAGAAACTTATTCCGTAGAAAAATCCCCCCCGCTCTAAAAGTTATAGCCCCTATAAAAATGCCATATACTTATTGTAGCGAAACCATAAGCTTTTTTCAAATTTTGCAAACGCAGAAAACTTTGAAAAAGCAAAATGACTGCTTTTAGACACTAATAAAACCTTCTAAACATTAATAAATAGTTTATTTCGCCAGAAGAAAATTTTTTCCACCTTCACCACATCGAGGAGTTATCACCTCTCGAAATTTGAAATTTCAATTTTTGACCCTACATACTTTCGAAACTGCAAGTTTTTTCAATTTTCTATTAATGCAAAAAGCTAACGACAGCATTTTCATTTTTGAAGGGGAAAGTGTTACATTTCAAACCATTGGTCTGACCAAACTTTATTTATTTAAAATATTACAATTTGTGTATGTTTGTACTACGTCTCTTTAAATTTCTGTGTTGACACTGTTGGTTTACTTGCACTAATAATTGTTAGATTTACGTATTAAGTACCCATCTACTTTTACAAGCGGTACTCGTATAACTTTATTTTGATTGAAATTTTAATATTGTTTAAAAAAAAATATGTCAGATTACAGGAATTCGCTCATGTAAAACTAATAGAGGAAAATAATTCATAAATTAATATTAGGTATGGAAATTATTGTTTAATATCAGCATATACATGGTATTCAATCATATATAATATTATGATCGTGTGTTACGAGTAGAAATTTAGTGTTTCCAGAAGAGAATAAAAATGTAGTTCAATAATATGTATGTATGTAAGTACCTTGAGTCCAATTTTCGCAATACTTACGCAAAGATTTATCGCAATACTACAAAGTTTAGAAAAAATCTTTTTTCTTGCACAAAAATCTTCAAAAATCAATGTTTTTTATATGCATAAAATTTCCGGATAATGGGTATTTTAAACATAGAAAAAATTATACTTGCTTAATTTTTTTTGTTACAGCTGATGTAAAATTTTCGTAAATGTACAAAAATAAAACCCTGAAACAGAATTTTTATTGGATTATTGAAAAAATGTCATTTTTCATGTTGGATTCGAACTTCGCAAAATTTATATGCAACATGTAGATTATAGCCAAACATAGTAGTGCTATACAGTTATAACGCATATGTTTATGAATTTGCCATAATTGCCCTAAATATTTAAATAAATCACAAATATTTTTCATTAATAAAAATAAACAAGAAATGTTAAAACAAATGAAAGTAGAAGTGAAAATTTGAATTTTATAAAACCCAAACCACTTGTGATTCATATTTGAGTTTTCAAAAATAACAAAAAAAAAAACATAACATTCAAAAACTATATAAAACAATTAAATGTTGGTTTATAACAATTTTTTTGCTATACTTAATAACTATAAATACATACATACATACATATATATTGTTATTCATTCATATTATTAAATATAAAATTAAAATTATAAAGGTTTAAAATAAAATATAAAATGTTTTAGTAATAAATTTATTTCGGAAGAACGATTATAAATTTTATTAATTAAAAAATCAAATATAATCGAATTTTGACATCCAGTTTTAATTGAATATTATGGAGAAAGTTATTGTAGTTGACAATGATAATAATGAAACCAAAACAGTTACCTTAAACAATATCATAACTGATATTCATCAACAAACAGTAATTTCTGAAAAAATATTAACTGAGCTAGTAAATGAGAAAAATTTCGAAGAAATTGATTTATCAAATAGGAATTCTGAAAAAATTATTATACAAGAACAACCAAAAATTGGTGAAAATCAAAAAAAAAATTTAAATAATAAAATTAAATCGGAAAATTTAGAAAAAAATGATAATAAATGCTGTGACCTTTGCATATATCATGGTACGTTTAATAATAGTAATTATGACTGGTTTTCTCTATGCTGTAATTTATGTATAAATTGCATAATACCACTTACAACAATTTTAATTGGTTCAATTCGTAAATAAAATATTTGTATGAAAGTAATTACTATAATTTAAATGGTAAATTTATGAATTACAATTATATAATAAAAATTATTTTAACAATATTTTATTTTAATTTTACAATCAAAATTATAAATTAAGGTACCTATACCTACAAGTTATTGTACTAAGTGTGTTTGTTTAAATAAACAACCCAACTTGTAATTAATAAAAATAAATACAAAAATTTAATTATTTTTTAACATTTAACCTACTTCCTTTTGAATACATCCCTTTTTCTTGTATTTTCAATAAAAACAAAATGTGGCCCCTTATGTATTAATTAATTGGTAAACATTCAATGCCATGACTCTTTGTACCTAACATCAAAAGAAAGTGAACATTTTTAAGCTTCTAATTTAGTAAAAAAAAAAAAATAAACAAATTTCCATCATATTCACGCACCCCCTTGCAAAATGGTAAACTTTTTTAAGGTTTTATAAAAGTTTTTTTAAATTTGAAAATTTAATCAAACTAGTTCCTTCTGTTAAAATTAATATTCAATTCCTGTAAAACTAATATTAAATTTGTAATTTTTAGATACAATGTGTCGTATATCGTAGATTGAATCTTCACAATATCGTACAAGCCAAAAGGTATTATTAATTATTTGGAACATGCTATGATGAAAGAAATTATAATTCCTTATAATACTCGATGTGTGTGTTCCTGAAATTACATAATGCATATATGGTATGAAAATTAATTTTTGTAAAAATATATTATGATTTTTTTAAGTAAAGGTTATAATTTTATATTAGTGTTATTAACAATTTGTTATAATTATTATACTTGGATAAAATATTTTGCAATTTGTATTTTAAATGATAAAAAAAATCTGTGACGCTCATGAAAAATAGCCTAAGTTGAAATCGCTTTATAGTTTTGAGTACATAAGGTTTAAAAATTAAAGAAAAATTAATTTTAAGTAAAACTTTTTTAATACTTTAATAAAATAGAGTTTATGTGGAATTCAAATTAATATTTTTATTCACTAATTTTATTTTTGTTTAGTTTAAAAATTTTGTAATGAAATTTTATTAATATTTTTTTTAAACTTGACAAGAGCCCAATTTCACCAACTTTACTTTACTTTTTTTTAATCAATTAATCAGAATATAGCGAAGTTTTTGTTGCATCAAGACTCAAAAAGCTAATCAGCTAAAATAATAAAAAAGCTTAAAATATAGAAGTGACTCCTACAATAAAGAGCTGATTTTCATTTTACGTTTTTCAAATTAAAACATTATTTGATCAAATTTTTTAAAAGGGCTTTTTTTTCTTCTTAATTCAACCATCTTAGTCCTCTTTTTATTTTGACCACATTCGTTTAACAGTTCGAATTTTGCTGTACTCGTACTATTTACCTACATATTTGAATACAAAAAATTTGATAATTTTGTCAAAGAGAGTATGTTGTATAAGTTTATATAACATATGTACTCTCTTTGACTCCAACATATGTACATTAAGATATAAGGCTGCATTGATTTACATGATGTTGAATACTAATTTTGAAAAAAGTTATGGATCTTTGTAGAATTTAATTAGCTATTTAATTAGATGAAACAAATAGATGCTACAGCCAAATGCAAGTTGCTGCAATAATTAAAATCTAAATAATAAATTAAAAAATCATAAATTTTGTAGGCTAGTACAAAAACTTCCTGAAGATAAAGGTATTTATATTATAATTATGTGTGATAATTATGTGTGTTTGTAATGTTATAATAATGAATATAATTAAGGAAAAAATAAAAATACAATTTATTGTTTTAATGCATTTTTTTTATTTATTTCTTAGTATTCATGGCATTTTTTAATATTTTTTGAATAAATTTTTATAATAACATTGTATATCATGTAATTATGTTATGTTTAATGTGAGATATCAATATAATATGTATGTATATGTATATTAGAATATTTATTAAAATTAATTAAAATTTAAAAAATTTCTTTTGATTAATTAAAATTTTTAATTTTCTTTTTTCTTTTGGGACAAAATTTATTTTGTAGATTTTACATTAAAACACAAGATGTATCATCACAACAATCACAATCATCAATACAATTACAATTGACATCAGTATCTTTGAATTCATCATTTTTATCGCCTTCAATAGTAGAAGTTTTATTACAATTTTTTGATTCAGATTTTTTTGGTTTCTGATTACCTAATAATTTGAAATTTCCATTCTCATTTTCAACTTCTTCATCATTATCATCATAATCATCATCATCGTCCTCTTCATCTTCATTATTTTGATTATTTTTAATATTATTACAATTATTCTCATTATCAATAATATTAAATGAATTATTTTTATTTAAATGTAACAATTCTATTCTATTATCATTATTATTGTTTTTATTTTTATTATCATTATTACTATTAATTATAATTGCGTTTCCATCAATATTATTACTGTTATTAAATTTATTAAAGCTTTTCGAGATTTTCATCGATTTTCTTTGATTGTCTAATGAATTAGCTGAAGATGAATTTGGTAATGGTTCTTTTGTTATTGGTAATTCATGATTACTTGTACTATTTTTAACTGTTGTTTTATTAAAATTATATTTTGTATTTATTTTAAAATTTTTTAAATTAATATTATATTTACTATTTGTATCAGAATTCGTTTTAGTATTACAAGAACCAAAAAAGAAGTCAACGACATCTTCATGGACGGTATGATTTAATTCAGCTTGATGATTTTTTAATAATTCTTTTGTTGAAAATATTTCATTACAAACAGCACAACGGTAATAAATTTTAAGATTTTTAATATCATTTTTTTGTTTCTTATACATTTTTTATTTTATTTTAGTAAAAGTAATTAATAAATGTAAGTGAAAAAGCGGAAAAAAAATGTTTTATATAAAATTTTCAATAATTTAATTGTAACGAAAGTGTGTATAGGAAATAACGTCTGTATTCTGATACCATTGCTAACTGAATGAGGTACAAAAATATAAGAATTTTTCTATTGTCTTTGTTTTCTCGGAATATACCACATAAAGAATATTGGCCTAAGATTTTATATCAAAAGTATCAGAATATAGAAAAAAATAAATAAAAATCCTTTCTTCTATACTTAATATCCTTATTATGATAATTTCTTTTACTTTGCTTTTTTACCGATCGTATTGTATACAATAAGGGAGGTATTGCTATATGTACTATAAATTTCGAATGTCAAGTTTTTAAAGAAATTCAGTAATGGGAACAATATAATTCGCTATTGCTTAGAATTTGAAAAATGGACAAAACTTTTGTTCATTAGTTGCTGTCTTCAAGTTCGACGATTTTCTATAGATAAAAGCATTTTCATAATATTTGATTAAATATTTTCTTGCTCACGTGCTTGTGTTTATCACTTCCGTTGTAAAGCTTTGCTAAAATACAATGATTTGTTGAGAAAAACTCCTATAGTTTTAGTTTTTTTCTTGCTTTTTGCTATTAAAAAAAATTTAATATTTCAGGTCATATTTAAGGTCAAATTTACGAAATTTCTTGAAAATTAATATTTCAAACTCTGTTTATGATTAAAATTAAGAGTGAAAATCTAAAGTAAAGCACGGACTCTACAAAGTGAACTTCTATCAAGAAAAAATTTAATATTTTTGTATGAATATGGTAACTAAAGTGGATTAATGTAGCTTTGTTAAAATTGCAAATAAGTTTTAAAAGACATTTATATAATATTGTTTATAATAGCAAAACTTTCATTAAACTAAATATTTATTGGAATTTATTTGATTTTTAGAAAAAACACAATATTCGCCCGATTATGTGCTGATCACAACCAATTTTTCCTCATTCATAATATGAATGTAAATAAAATATGTAATTTTATATTTGATATTTTTATTTACGTATGGCTTATATACACACATGTAACATTTATGAATCATCTTTATGATAAAAAATCCTTGATAAAAACAAAAACAAAACAAAATTTACTTCATTCAATAGAAATTGAATTTCATTTGCGAAATTATTTCCCAGACTGTTGTATTTTCTTGTTTTATTTTTTCCTGTTTTTTTTTTCTCTCTAAAGTTAAATTAGAAGTATAGAAATTCTGTTTGTTTCTTTAAGTATAAACATAAATTAGAAACCATATTATTCCGAAAATCAATAATTATCGTATATAATGTAGCAGTATATAGATATTCCAAGCATATAAAGATAAGAAGAAGTTATAAAAACTTAAAATTCTGGTTTTACACTATTTTCTTTCTTTTTTTTAATGGAGTTTCGGAGTTTTCTATTTTCCTTGATTTTCTTAAAAGACAACAGAAGCTACGATGACGTAAAAAGAGTTTATTGTGTAAGTTTCTAGTTTAATGTACATAGGTTATCATGTATGTATATACATACATATTAGTAAAAGAGGGTTTTTGCAAAAACTCTTAAAAGTAATGGAAAATAACTTACTTTATTGTTATTTTTTTAACATTCAACGATGTTATTTATATACGTACACATTATGATAAAGTTTTAGTGAATATTTTGTAATTGTCTGGGGTTTTGTACTCTTGCCCGGTATATATAGCTATACCGTGATAAATGAGTATTACAAATGTACACATAATATATATGTATATATATGCATGAATCATTTCATCTCTTAGCAGCTCTAAACATTTAAGCATTCATTAAATTTTATTGTTGACAATATAAATTTGTATTTATTTTTTTTTTCAAATATTCATATTAAAATATTATTTGTATTAATAATTACTTTGAATATGGTATATGCCTCTATGTCCTTTCGTATATAAAACATATAACCACTTAAAATTATAACTATAGTTCTAATTTTACTTTAAATTTGAGTATTAAGTATATTAAAGCGTGTCACGTTTGATACATTGAATATTTTCTTAGTTTGGTGCAAAAGTCGAATATATCTTTATATTAGCTTTATGTAATTGAAACTATATATGAGTGTAGTGCCTGTATTTTTGTTTACCTATAATTAAAAAACCTATTTATTGTTTATATATATGTACGACAAAATCTACGATTTATTCTGAGGCTGATAAAAGTTGTATATGTAAATCTCGTTTGTAATCAGACTTTGTCTGACGGAAAATAATAGAAATTACTCCATTCTCATCAGATTACTCTCCAAGTTTTTTTAAAAGTAAAATGGCGATATTAAGTTTTTTGTGTTAGTTTGAAGCAGCTATTAGCCAAACATTATTATGGTTATAACTTTTTATTAAATTTTATCATAAAGTGTGAGCGCCATAAAATAACCTTGGTACCTTAGATTAGCTGAAAAGGCGATTTTATTAGCTACATATTATTTTTAAATCCATTATTTATTTTCTGTAACATAAAATGTCGACATCCTATCGTAATTGCTATGTTAGAGCCCGAAAAAATGAAGGATTTCGGAAAAATTCTGTTGTCAATAGTTTGGAGAATAAAATATCACGTTAGCTAAAAGCAAATCCGTGATTTTTAATTATAATTAATTTCAAAGAAATTTCAATATAATTGTGAAATCCAATTTTACTTTCTATTGTAAAATATATAGTGATTTTTGGAATGTGTATATCGTATTAAATGCCGTTTACGATGAATAACAATTGTAAGTCTATTGCCACTTATATAGTAATAAAATGAATTTATTTCAACTAAGCTTTACATTTTTCCAATTTTTAATACAATTTATAGAAATTTTAAAGGTATGAAGGTATTGTTAAGGGATATTAGCTAATGTTTCTAGAAGAAACAATTAGATCACGCGAGAGGTAAAACTTTTCATCAATTAAAATATCAACTTTATAATTGTATAATTTTTCATATTAATCTTTTGCATAATATCACAAATGCAATTGATTTATATATGAAATAAATCGTAAATAAGAAAAATTCTAACTTGAATACTTAATGATTTTTGGTAATTTTTTAATATAGCCACATAAAATATAGCTTATGACATCGGACGTCGATAGTGTAGTATAATGTAATGACTATGGCTCATCATTTATTAGCTTACGATTTCGAAATAAAAATTTATTAATAATTTCTAAAATTTTTAAAATTTTACATAATATTAAGATTCATTTTCAAAACAGCATGTTTGTTACAGCTAGAATTCTATCATTAGAAAAAGTAATATAAACTTGTAATACCAAGGATATGCCGCCTAACTGACTACAAATATTTATACAAATGCTATGCGTAGAAAAAATACATACGTAATAATAGGTACCATTCCATAGTAATTTATTATAAACTAATTGGGGGTATTATATCGTAATTTTGTATAATATATGTACGTATATTACATATGTGCATATATATATGTAAATTATATAGAATAACACAAATCTTGAACGCACTTTGTTTATAATTTTTATATTTACATATACATACATATATTTATTTTTATATTTTACAAATGTGTAGGTGTAAGTAAATTTGGTGTTAAAGTTATTTAAAATTACATATTGTAATTTTTAATATGCAAATATACACATACATTTATCCAAGAATTACAATTTGTTATAATAATAATGTAAATATAATTAATGTATGTATGTGCATAGTCAATTTTAAAATAAAAGAGAACTTGACATTTCAACCAGTTAAGAATTTCTGTTACTTTAAAAAAAATTTATTTAGATACGCATAATATTTTGATATATTTGAAATAAAAAAATTGTAAAATGATGTGCTCATTAGTTTTCTTCTATATCTTCGTGTGTCTGTCTGAAAGCAGAAATTTTTTAGGCGAATATAGATCTTGGTAAAAACATTATTCTTATAGAACAATTAATCTTTTACATATCGCCACTTAACTTAAAGCTCTTCGAAATCATGAAATTACAAGTTTTTGACATCAAAAAATAAAAACTTCTTTTTGTATGATAAAGAACTTATAATTTGTATAATAAATCTTTTAAATAAATAATACTATTCCGATCCGGTTTTTCGGCATTTTTTGCAAAAAATTTTTTCTCAATTCGAATAAGTCTCTTAAATTTTAATAGTTTATAGAAATGTATACATACGTAAATATTATATTTTACTATAGTATATTTATACTTTCTGTCTAAATTTTGCAAAATATCAATTTTTAGTCCGCCCTTTTCTCGATTGTGTAAGCGCTACCGAATTTCTATAAATGTAAACAAATTACAGTATAAACAGTTTTTATATTGTCTCCTTGTCGAATATTATGGATATTTTTGAAAATACTTTAATTACTCTAAAGTTGAGAACTGCAAATCTTTGAAAGTTTTATGTAAAAATTAAATGAAAGCTTTGTAATTCTAACTTTAAGAACTGTATTTTCAAAAATACCCTATACAGTCTTGGGCCTTAAATAGAGGTAAGTTTTTGAAATTTTTACTTCGAGATATCTCCTTATAGTTATGCAAAATTATATAGTTTTGTTCGAAAATTATTTTAATAAGAAATAACATTCATTATTGAAACCTGAAAGCATATGTATTTAGATTATAAATACATGTTGTAGACTTAAATTGTTAAAGGAAATGTGATGTTTTGCAAGACAGGGCTTAGACATACTTCTTTTTTTACCGACCGTATTGTGTAAACAATAGGTAGGTTATGTGATGGCAACAAATTTTGCATATCGAGTTTTCGGTGGGAACGTACTTCTTCATAGTAGGGAAGTGCAAATAAACGCGTGTGTGCACGCGTGTATCTCAAGTTCAGCTGAACCGATTTTGATGAAATTTTATATGTAAGTTTATTTCCACCATGGCACGGATTGATCAACTTTTGGTATATATCAGGCCTCGGGAACTGCACTTTTTACCGGACCTGTTTTACATTTTTGAATATTTTGAAGAAAATATGTAACCGGTTTACTTGAAATTTTATATATAAGCTCAGCTCGACCGTTCGCGAAAATTCCTATGTTTTGGAAGAAATCAGGCATCGGCAACTAGACGTTTAC